CCCTCACTTGGTCAGCACACGATTCCGGGAGGCACAGTGGATCTAGAATATGTGGAGGAGGGGAGGGAGGTCCCTTGGGTGAAGCCAACATGGCCCAAGTCTGCACCTCAGCTTTTGTGGCCTGCCACGCTACAGAGAACGAGTTTGGAAAACGCGAGCTCCGTGTACGTTTGCCGATGTGCATTTGCTGGGGTGCCAGTGGCCAAGGTGGGTGAAAGGTGTTCTAGCACTGCTGGAACAGAGGGCTCAGCTCAAGCTCTGGGTGGAGCATTGGCAGTTGGGTCTGCAGGCCACTGCAAAAGGGTCTGCGTGGGCTGTGCTTTGACTGGAAGTTTGTCTTCTCAGCACTGCTGGTCTTACTCTACCTACACAGAAGCAGGAAACCAACATGCAGAGTTGGAAACTGAAATGATCAGAAAGCAGTATGTAATGTCATAAAGATGTCCATCCGTAACCCGCACTTTTTTTAACACCTTTTTTCCTGGTCATCTTATTTCCACAGTGTAGTATAATTGTTGCTGGATGAATCTCTTTATGCTCCTGTTTGTTAAGGCATGTACTGAAACTTATTTTGCTGGTCCTTGGTTTTGTTTTGGTTTTTTCCTATCCAAAAGACAAACAAATTTTCATCTAGTTTCCCTAGGCATCAATACTTTAGTTGGGGTAGGGGTTTTTTGCCTTAAAGACAGTGGCTTATGAACATTTTTGCACATCTAAATTCCTGATTGTTAAAACAGGCCACTGTAAATTTCCCCTGACCAAAACTGACTGTCTTGGAGGAATGTGAGACTTCTGTGTAGAAATAATGTAGAATTTGTGTCCCAAGCAGCAACCATTCATAAATACCTTGTTTCATACTGATATTTCCAGGCAAGTATGAAACCTTCATGTGTATTTCTAAAATTTAGGTAAACTTAAAGCAAAAGTGATGCATTTATGCAGATAACTCTAACTTCAGGCAAGTTTTGGAACTTGGATGAAAATTCTTTGTTCTGAAGAATTACATACATTAGATTTTTCAGAAATTCCATAAATGATTAAACATCTGATTTTCTCAGTCGCAAAAGTTTTCCTTATATAGCGCTTTACTTCTTTGTGTTTAGTTTAAGATATTTGGGAAATGCAAATTAGATGCTGTTAGATAGGAACTTTTGAACCAGTGCATTCAATCCTTTGTTTTGCATGTGGTTTAGACATTCAAAAGTTACTTTACAACCCAAAACACAGCCCAGTGCACCTTTGCCTAAGTGTCTAGAAGGATAGAGGCTCCAGAGGTGCACGTTTCTAGTGATACTTCACAATTTCAGTAGCATTTTAATTGCAAATGCAAAATACTTATCTGGCTTTTTATTAGTTAAAGGACAATTAAGAAGTCTAAAGGCATTTTTTTTTCTGTAAGTACTACAAAAGTAAGTAGTACTTACAGAAAAAGAATACTTTTTTTTTAAAACAGGAAAAACGTGCCTGTAAAATTGTTGGACTTTGGGGAAGGAAGTTGGTGTCTATTTTAGGTGCCTCTCCCCCTTGCGGAAATAGCAAGTCTTGCTTGAGGAGGTTACACCAGGCCCACTGTGTGGGAAGCTACCCATAAGGCTTAAGGATGTGCCTGTGATGAGTTTACAGCCGCAACTACCAGTGCAGTTCACCAGGAACCAGTGACTCTTTGCTAGATCCCTGTCTAGGAGTGTAAAGGGAGCTTTAGCTTTCATTGTGTAGCCTGAGCTAGGAATATAGAGGGGTTTTGAGTTAACCTCACTTGATGAACCAGTTCTAATGCCTCAGGCCTAGAACTGAAGCTTCTACACACTAAATGCTCATGGGAATGTAGAGGAGATAAGTTTTCACCTCTAGACGAGAGAGAAGGTACGCTACCTTTTTCTGAATAATATAGAAATGTGGGATGTTGGCACTGTCCAAGTCCTTCAAGTACTCCAACGGAAATGTAGTATGGAAAATCTTCCTGTTGTGTAAAATCACACATTGGCTTACCTGGAACTGTGTTCTCTGTAAGTGCTTTCATTGGTGGACATCAGCAAGGGTGGCTCTTGTGGAAGGCTCAGTAAATTCTGTTCTGCCGCCTTAAGTCTGTATTCTTACTTTAAATCTCTACCTCTTATTAAGTATTTTATCTGAGGCCATGTCAAAATTCTGTGGAGTAGCCACCAGAGAGAGGTGGAGGAAAATTCTAATGCTGTTGTATTCTAGTACTGTTGTACATTCTATTATTTGCTTCCGTAGTTGACTAAAAAAAAAAAGGCAGCACCAAAAAAACCATCAACCAGTCAATTTTCAGTTGAACCTGTTGTCTCTAATAGAATTTCACAGAACTTGAGTCAGTGAGTCTGTGGCCATGAGTCAGAATGAAAATGTTTGTACAAACAGCATTACTGTATGCATGGCAAGGTAGTTAAAAACTGGAAGTAAAAAACTTGGGTCCATCAGAAGTTAACCATTAGAGACAAGTCTAAGCTTAGCTTTGTCTCCTGGCATCTCACATATGACCTGATTCAAGTGGAGTGTTGTTTAATATTGTAAAGTGTGTTGTTAATCGCTCAGTGTTTATAAATTGAAATAACTTCATGTGAACTCGGTGTTCCGTAAACTGGAAAGGTGTGCATGCCTCTTTAACAATTTCTCCAGCTTGAAATTGTAAGATCTATGCTCTTGGGGAATTGGTCAGCTTTTCACAATACATCTAATCTGAAGAGCATCTCCAGCTGCTTTAGATTATTAAATACACCCGCACATCCCTAATATATATACAATTAGAGCATCTGTGATAAATAATCCATATAAAACTTGCAGGTGTATTACTTAGGTCAGAAAATTATGGCAGAAAATCTTGTGATCTACATGTAGACTGCAGTGGAGAACTGAGGTGGAAGAAAAATGTGATGAGGAAGGATAAAGTTCAGACTCTGATTTGGATATGAAATAACTGCCACTTTGTATGTGCTGTGGATAATGTGGTTGGAGAGAGGGAGGGAGGAAAATTAGCAGCAAGTTTCACCTTAGTTGGAAAGGGCTCTCATGGATGCACGGAGGGAATGTGTAGGAGAGACTGCAAGAGGAAGATGGAAGGAGCATGTTGGTGAAACAGGTGCTTAATATTGACAAAGGCTTTCACATGATGTACTTCTGTGCTTACAAATGACAGTATTTCACACAATCAGTCATTCCAAACCTTTAGAAAGTCAACAATGATCAAAGCAGGAAATCTTGGCATTCAGAAATAGATGGTCTGTGAAATCATGAACTAGTCAGTCTAAGCTGTATTTAGAACACTGTTGGTTTTAAAGCCTGTATAATAAAAGCTCAAGTGTGAAAGACAATATCAAACCTAATTTTTATACATCTGTAGAGAAAGGCAAGTTTTCCAAAGTCCTCATAAAAAATGGAGACTGAAACTCTTTCCTTGGCTCAGCATACAGCTATTCCCTGTTTACAGAGTAGTGGTTTTGATGGTATTGGTGGTGCTGCTTTATCTTCTTTTTTACTTTTTTCTGCCTCTGTCTCAAGGTGACAAGGAAATTTTTTTTTTTTGGTCTTGGAACACACTGGGGCATTTGGAAGGTCAGGCAGACACTGAGGTAATGGATTTCTTTGTAAGAAATATTTTCTTCTCTAGGATCATGAGATGTGAAGGGTGAAAAGGAAGGAGCAAAGGTGCTGTTGATGAATAATATACACCTCAATAGTTACTTTCAGAACTTGAGGACATTTTCCCTTCTGAAGCAGCTATGTTGAAACTGATCCCTAACCAGCCAGTATTAACAGCCAGGTGCAGCAAGTGCTGAGTAGTACCAGTGGGTTGAGCATTTCAGTTCTCAAGTACTTGTTCTGTATAGAATCTCTGCATGACTCAACATCAGAAAAGGCAACTTTAAGTTAATACTACAACTTCTGATTAAAATCTTGCTTCCCGTGTTCTAGTCTTTACCTAACATTAGTGAGACAGTACTATAAAAAGCCTGCATGCTACACCTAATCCAAATGTTTGAAGTGTTTCGTAGTTGATATTTTTTCATTAACAACTTGATTTCTTAAGTAAAGGTCTGGGGGTTCTTTTCCAGAATGTGGTCAGATATGGTGCTTTTGGTGCTGCATGCAGCTTTTTCCCAATTATCTGTGGGTTTTCTGGTAATTTCTTTTCCATTTGCATGTTTCTGTAAAAATCTGTGACCTTATTAATTGGCCAGATTTTCTTGTGTGTGTATATATAGTACTGAGACATTAACTTGTGTAGTGATATGGTTGTAATTCTTCAAAATACATACTTGCCAGGTATAATTGCAGGTGAAAGAGGAGGATATAGCAAATAGCTTTATTGGAGAACCATATACCTTATTCAGCTGAGGAGAGAGAGATTCAATCTTGAGCTCATCTTTAATAGTGGTTTT